AGCAGCGTTTGAAGCTCTGATGATTAATCAGGTAAAACAAGAAACGAGTGATGAAAGAAGGATCGATAGGATTAAGTCGGATATAAGAGAGATAGTAAAGACAGTTAGACAACTTGCAGAAAACCATATGGCACCAGATCGTGCTAACCATGGGTATCATAATTCGACACAGAACCTCATGCTACAAAGGCAAAGTCTTCCAAATAAACAATGTTTCAGCTGCCACCAGGAGGGTCATATTTCACGTAATTGTCCCAAGAGAGTGCCCCAGAACTGTCACGAGCAAAGGAGTGAAAAAGAAGTTAGAAATTTAGAGATGGAAAATAGGAGCATGAACATTTGCTACTTTGAAATCATGGACATTTCATCTAATGCTGGAACAGAGTGCCTTAAGATTGAAATTGCAGAAGGAGAACCTATATTTGATGTTAGAAATTGGAATCTTAGGAAAACAAGGCGCTCGATGATGATGAAGGAACCTCAGGAGTAATAAACTCCGAGTAAAGTGAAGAACCAAAGGATGTGAAGGATAATCTTGTGACACCACAAGCCTATAGCTCGGTAATTTATATTCCTCTAAGTGAATTAAGTCAAGATTTGAATATCCTGAAAAAGGTAGCCGAAATGGAGGTGTCGTTAACGTTAGGACAACTTTTTAAATAGTCCTCAAAGGCCAGAGCCGAAGTATTAAGAGGGTTAACGAGAAAGAAAAGAGAGAACAATGTAGTGATGTTGGATGCAAATGTCAGTATGGTTAAGACTATACAAGAAACTCATATCAAACAAAAGGGTGATGTGCTTATGGGTATGATCAAAATTAATGGGGAGACAGTTGCCGTGCCTATTGATCTGGGGTCTCGGTTAAACCTAATGCATGAACAATATGCAAGAAAGAAGGGACTAACCTGGAAAACCGCTAAAGGGAAAGGAAGAATGGTGGATAATAGTGTAAGTAAATTTTTTGGATTTGTGTCTAATGTAGAGGTAGACATAGATGAAATAGTTGTTTTTCAAGGATTCTATGTGATGGCTTCCGCTAGCTTCGATGTGTTACTTGGAATGCCTTGGTTGGCTGCGGCACATTGCGATTTAAGGTGGAAAAATAATGAATATTGGTGTTCGTTGGCCTCTCTATATAAGGAAGTATCCTTCATCACGACCATAGTACCAAAAACCTGGATAAATCCAGATGATGACTATGATGAGGAGGATGACGACGAACTTAATCCTATCGATCCTTCTTTCATCACTCGTTTCTTGTTTTACCTGATTAATCATCAGAGCTTCAAACGCTGCT